GCCTGGAGTGACCGCCCAGGGCCATGGCTGAGAGACGCCCCACGCCTCTGGCTCAGGTGAGTCTAGGGAAGGCGGTGGGGTGCCGCAGAGAGAAGCTGATTCCTCTGGTTTTTGTGTATGGTTTGAGTTGGTGGTCTAGTTTCATTTTTTTTGCATGTATCTGTCCAATTTTCCCAGCAACATTTATTGAAGAGACTGTCTTGACTCCATTGTTTGTTCTTGCCTCTTTTGTCAAATATTAATTGAGCATAGTGGCAACCAATATTTTATATCAATTTTAATTTAAAATATTTAATTTCCCTATAAAAATATAATTGCATGAAGCATTTAATTACTTAAGGTTACTCTTTGTGAAATCTTAGTAATTTAAAGATTTAACCCCGGGGCAGCTCCCGCCCAGCACCCTGGACACCTCCCCGCCCATCGGTGGGCAGTGAGGGTGCGGGGACAGCACCTCCAGCCCCCACTGTTCAGGGTGGAGGCCGCAGCCGCCTTCACACACAGGCTGTGTATCATCCTCTCGCTTCACCTGTCCAGCTGGCACTCTTGGTGGGAAAGCTGGCGGCTGCAGGGCAGAGCCCTGGGACTAAGGCTGAGGGTCTAACACTGAACCCAGGCCCGGCTGGTGTGGCTCAGTGGTTGAGTGTTGACCTAGGAACCGGGAGGTCACGGCCTGACTCCTGGTCAGGGCACAGGCCCGGGTTGCGGGCTCGATCCCCAGTAGGAGGTGTGCAGGAGGCAGCCGATCCGTGGTTCTCTCTCATCATTCATGTTTCTCTCTCTCTCCCTCTCCCTTCCGCTCTGAAGTCAATAAATATATATTTTAAAAATTCCTTTAATTCTTAAAAAACAAAACTGCATCCCAGGCATCTGCTGATAGGGAAGTCCCTCCAATTAGAAAACTGTTCTTTTTTTTTTAAATCCTCACCTGAGGATATTTCTCCCATTGATTTCTAGACAGAGTGGAAAGGAGCGGGAGAAGGGGAGAGAGAAAACATCGATTGGTTGCCTCCTGCAGGGGCTGGGCATGGAGTCTGCAACCGGGGTTTGTGCCCTTGAACCCCTTGACTAGAATCAACTCCTGAGCCCAAACGGCCAGGGCTGTTCAGAACTACCAGGGCCTCCTACCTGGCTCGCCCTCATCCGGCGGAATCATGTCGAACAGAGCGTAGAAGCCGGAGTTGGTGACCACAAAGTCGCTCCGGAAGACCACGGTCACGATGTCGGAGGAGGAGAAGACCAGCAGAGCTCCTCGGGCACAGAACCGACCCAGGGAGAGCGAGGAGATCCTGGGCCCATCGAAGATCTCCACCGAGTCGAAGGGGCACCCCGGGATGTCTTCCAGGCTGGGGTGGGGGCAAAGCGGAGAGTTAGCACCTCGCTGGGGCCGCCCTGACCGAAAAGCGCACACAGTAGGACAGTCCCGGGATTCCAGGTCTGGTCATGGATTACATTGCGCACGGACATGTGACATATCGACTCCCTTTCTCAGACGTGACCAGCACTCTTGTTCCCTTTGAGGAACGAGCAAGGCTGGTGGTTACGACTGGGTCACAGGCGTGTTCAAGGCTGTGTCCTTACTCCAGGCTCGGAATCAGGAGTTTAATGCGGGAATTTTTATCCACGTGGATCTCCCAGATGCACTGGGTGTCGGTTGGGTAGTTTTCCGGGTACCGGGGGCTGGAAAACGAGCCGGGGAGCCGGGTCAGCACCCCTCCACAGGAGCGACTTCCTTCTGCAACAACAGGGGACACCCGCGTGATGGCAATGACACCGGTGGGCGCCGTGGGCAGCAGTGCCCCCTGGTGGGCACACACGAGGCCGTCTGCGCAGACCTTCAGCCTAAAGGCCTCCTGGGAAGGAGCGTCCTTTCGTCTCATTCTGATGAGTCAGATGGAGTTTCCATTTCAAGGTAAACGAGCGATTACCTGTTATGTGATCCTGAGACGCTGTGGGACCACCTAGAAGGAAAACAAGGGGTGATAGCTATGATGGACAGACGGCTCCTCTCGCCCCCCACGGGCTCCTCCATCCGTGACCCATGAAGTGGGAGAACCACAGACGAACGTGCATTTGCCTGTCTGTGCCTTTGACCCTCACCTGGGCCCTTTAACAGACAGCCCGACCCCTCAGTCACGACATGAAGCCGCGTCCCCAGGAGCGCCTGGAACACGCCAGTGACAGGTGACCTGCGTGTGTTGTCTGAGACTCTGTGGGCACAGAGCAAAGAGCAGGAGACGGAGCTCGACCCTTCCAGCTCCGCTGCTCAGGTAGCCTCCGGTCGCCCCAGTCCTCAGCCGGGAAGAGGAGTGAACTCACTCACACAGACCTGGCAGGATGCCTGCGGCCCAGCCGCCTGACTGTCCTTGCAGTGAAATGAAGTGCCTCTTCATTCACCTCCAGCGCCCCCTCAGGACTCACACCGCATGTGCGGGCCTGGCTTTTCTCACCTTTGTGTGAGTGTTTCAAATGTTGACTATATAACATGTGGATGCTTTATTTTTTACTTTCTAAATTTATTTCAGAGAGGAAGGGAAAGGGAGCGAGAGATAGAGACATCAATGATGGGAAAGAATCATGAATTGGCTGCCTTCTGCACGCCCTCGCCTGGGGATCAAGTGCACAGCCCGGGCATGTGCCCTGACACTCAACCGCTAAGCCACACCGGTCGGGCTAAACTTTGGTTTTTATTACACACGAATATCATTCAATCAGTAAGTTATAAGGTCTTTGAAAACAGGCGGAAGTCACAAGGTCCCCAAGAGCATGAACGTAGGGGCCAGGCTGGTTCCACCATTAAATTCCTGAGTGATCTCAGGAAAGTCACAACCTTTCTGAGATTAAACTTCTCTTCTGTGAAATACAATAGCAGATCCCTTTTTGTAGGATTGTCCTGGGGGCAACCAGTAATCTGAGCAAAATGTCGCCCCCTCTCTGCTCCGGTTTTGTTTGGTCTTTGTGTAGCCGGGGCTGATGGGCAGTGTGGTGAATGAGATTGGTGCCCAAGAGAGCAACAGCTTGAGTTCAAATCCACTGGCGAATCCTGGGTACATTACTAACTTCCTTGTCTCAATGTACTTATCTGAAAAATGGGAATAATCGAAGTCCTTACCTCAAGGCTTGTCGTGGGGATTAAATGAGTTATAAATGCAAAGACCTCAGAACAGTGTGTGGTTCTCAACATTCATCCGTATTTGATATTATTATTATTATTATTATTATTATTATTATTATTAAAGTTGCTTGGACTAGAAAGACATGGACATACCTGGAGGTGTGGGAGGAGACAGGTCTTCTGCATCTAGGAGCATAATGAGAAGAGGTCTCTCTCATTAGTGAATCCGAAGCATGGAGGACATGGCGTACGGGCATGGGTGGGGGACAAAGGGGAAGGGACCATGGTCTTTCAGAGACCAGAGTACCAGACCTGCCCCTGGGCCAGTCCAGGCCTCCTCTGGCAGGGTCCTTGGTCTCGGGGGGCCGGGGACTCAGGGTTGGATTTCCTGTCCCCTCTAATCTTGAATCACCTGGGATATGTGTTAAAATGCAGACTCCAGAGCCCTTCTCAAACCGAGTTAGTCATCAACTCCACGGTCAGGATTCTGCATCCTGCATTGCCATGCCCGGGTGGGGCAGGTGCACATGAATATCCGAGACCGCCCCCCCCCCGCCCCCAATGCCATCTATAGCTGCCCTTGGGAGGGTGTGTGTCTGAGCCCAGGGCCAGGGAGAAGCTCTAGGATTGTGTGATGAAAGAATGAGCATATGGATGAAGGGATGGAGGGAGGGGGTGGTGGGATGGAGGGAGGGATGGGTGGAGGGATGGAGGAAGGGGGTGGAGGGATGGAGGGATGGATGGAAGGATGGATGGAGGGAGGGATGGACAAATGGATGCATGGAGGGATGGAGGGAGGGGTGGATGGTTGGATGGATGGATGGATGGATAGAAGGATGGATGGATAGAAGAATGGATGGATAGAAGGATGGAGGGATGGAGGGATGGATGGAAGAATGGAGGGAGGGAGGGATGGACAAATGGATGGATGGAGGGAGGGGTGGATGGATGGATGGATGGATGGATAGGATGGACGGATGGAGGGATGGAAGGAAGGAAGGGTGGAAGGATGGATGGATGGAGGGATGGAAGGAAGGATGGATGGATGGAGGGATGGAGGGATGGATGACATTCCATCTGGGATGCATGGTTTCACATGCCTTCACCCACAACACCGGAAAGGATTATCTGAGAGGGGAGGGGCTACCAGAGCAGGTGACGCCGGCATCCTCGTGGTGGCCGCAGTTGTGCTCCGCCCAGCCCGAGTGCACGCATTGGCCCAGGTGGCGCTCGGCCCCCGAGCACTGGACGTTGTCCAGGAGGATCTCCCCAGAGCCCGGGCCGAAGTGGGCCTTCCCCAGGGCAGCGATGGCCCTGCCGCAGCCCAACTGCCGGCACACAACCTCAGCCTCGTTCAGGTCCCACAGGTCGTCGCACACGGTGCCCCAGGCCCCCTGGCGGAGGACCTCCACGCGCCCCGAGCATGGGCCGGAGCCACCCGCCAGCCGCAGCTCCGGCCAGTCCCCTGTGGACAGAGACCTCATGACGACTGCCGTCGGGGATGCTGCACACTCCCCACGAACTGGTCGGGCTCCCGGCCCTGCACCACCAGGGATGGAGGACTTGGCAAGAGGTCAGTCAACTGGTCAACCTCCCAGGTTTGATAAATCATTAGGATTGTCAAATGCCATTTAGCCCAGCCCGGCCGGCATGGCTCAGTAGCTGAGCATCGACCTATGAACCCAAAGGTCACAGTTTCATTCCTGGTTGGGGCACAGGCCTGGGCTGTGGACTTGATCCCCAGTGTGGGGCATGCAGGAGGCAGCCGATCCATGATTCTCTCTCATCATTGATGTTTCTATCTCTCTCTCTCTCCCTTCCTCTCTGAAATTAATAAAAATATATTTTAAAACTGCCCACTAACTGAATAATTATTGGGCCACTCTGGGCAAATGCAAAGAACATGAATAATGTGCACAGTGATCTGTGGTTTTGTGAGGTGCTGTGTGTGTGCATGTTCATGCGTGTGCATGAGTACATGTGTGTGCGTGTGTGTGTGTGTTCACCTTTGTAGTAACTCAGGAAGAACATCCATTTACCAACTTTATCTACGAGGAAACTATAGTTGAGGCCAAGTGGCTCCCCCCCAATCTCACGCCCGGTAAGTAATAGATCTAAATGCAGGTCTAATTCCAAGGGTCACTGATTTTCTTTCTTCTCTGCCGCTCTAGCTCCCTGCCTCCAGGATGCCTGTCGCTCTGCTCCCCTTAAAATGTCACTAGTGACGTGGAGGTGCATCAACTATGACCACACGTGGCCACAGAAAGGGAAGATAGGGTCCCACTAGAAGGCTGGGAACCTGCTCAGGGTTTGAAGATTTCGAAAGGCTCTGAAAAAACGAGCTCTGCTCCCCCTGGATGTGAGAGCCCAACGTGGCCAGGGGTTTTGAACGGCCCTGCAGAGTTTGAAAACGTCACCTGGCCCATCGCAAACAGACGAACCACGTGCAGTTAGTCCAGTCTCTGCCCAGGAAGCAGGTACAAAGGCGGGCACCGGAGGAAAGGCGCCCGGTCACGGTGGGTGCACTCAGGGCTTACCTGGCCTTGCTGTCGCCATCGTGGGTGCTGCTGGGGCGGCTGTGGTCACAGGAAAACCTGAAATGAAAAGGGAGGGCGTGGACGAGACAAGAAGGCAGCATTGAGACAGCGCTCCGTGCCAGGTGCTAGCAGAGTCACTCTCCCTGTCTTCTCTACAAGAAGTGGCCTCCACCCGGCCGGCCTGGCTCAGTGGTGAGCGTCCACCTAGGAACCAGGAGGTCAGGGTTCGATTCCCGGTCAGGGAACAGGCCCGGATTGCGGGCTCAGTCCCCAGTGTGGGGCGTGCAGGGGGCAGCCAATTGGTGACACTCTCTCATTATTGATATTTCTCTCTCTCCCCCTCTCCCTTCCTCTCTGAAATCAATAATAAATGTATTTTTAAAAAAGAAGTAACCTCTGAGGTCAGACTTTCTTTACATGGGGCCTTGATGTTTCTCAGATGTGGGATCCCACAGAAGTAATCCCCCCTTTTCCTGCCCCGACCCTGGACATACGACAGTTAAATCGTGCCGTTCTGTGCTGGAGGCACCCACAATCGGTGCTGCTGCTTCTTTTGTGGTTTCCACTTTCCCTATCGCGGGGTGTCTGGTTAGGTGTGTTCACTGCTTTTGACAGGAAACCAAATCAACGACGGTCAACATGCAGGGACCCGGTGGTCGATATGTGTAACCCTGTTCCACTGTGAGTGAGCATCATACGTGTGCAAATGTGTGTGGACAGACCTCTCAGCTGCGGTAGCTACGTGCAGGCGATTAGCAGACGTGTGTGAAAGGGATCGGATTATGACAGTAACCGCGCCAGGGGTGGGGACAGAGGCAGACGCGGAACTAGGAGCGAAGGTTAAGTAAGAACAGTAGAAGGACTCACTGATGAGGTGGGGGGTTTGTGGAACCAGCTCTGCAAACACAAGAAAACTGTCGTCAATAACCGTCCAACATCGCCCTGGCTCGCCGCTCCGTGGTGAGGGCGTCATCCCGATACGCCAGGGTCGCAGGTGAGACCCCGGCCAGGGGCCAGACAGGAGTCAGTCATGAGCGCACCAATAAACGGACCAACAGTGTGTCTCTCTAAAATTTAAACCGTCAGTCAGCAACCGTGTCACGTCAATCGCGGTGACTTCCCTGATCTACTTGTGACACAGAGCAGCTCCCACGCCAGCTCAGCGGGGCGCCGGGCGCTTGCTAGCAGGAGGCTGTGTTGAGCGGCGTGTCGGCCGAGGCGGAGGCTGAAAGACCGTCCCTGAGCTCAGCCCCGCTCAGGGGTCACTAGTGCAGGGCCCACCGCTGGGAGGCCGCGGGGCATGACTGACCCTCTCCAGCCTCAGTTTCCTCACCTGTCAAAGGGGAAGAACCAGGGGCTTGCGTGAGGCTCGGAGGAGGCAGCACATGCAAAGTGCTCAGGATGTTGCCCGGCTCAAAAGAGGCATCTGGCCGACGCCAGCTGTTCCTCCGACCACGGCTGCTGCCACCCCCAACCTGGGCACATGCGGTTCATCAGGACCCTCGGTCCAGCCCCTGGCGGCCTCCGCACCACCTCGCCCATCCCACCTGTGCTCCCGCGGCCTCTCACCGCTGGCCCTCCTGCTTCTCTGCTCACAGCCTCACCAGGTTTAAGACAAACCTAAGCCCGGCCGACGTGGCTCAGGGGTTGAGCGTCGATCTATGAACCAGGAGGTCATGGTTCGATTCCCGGTCGGGGCATGTGCCCGGGTTGCAGGCTCCATCCCCAGTAGGGGGCGTGCAGGAGGCAGCGAATCCATAAATCTCTCTCCTCATTTATGTTTCTATCTCTCCCTCTCCCTTCCTCTCTGACATCAATAAAAATATTAAAAATAAATGAAGACAACTCTCAGGCTGTTCTCTGTATTTTCCTGAACACGTTGCTGTAGCCTACACCGGCCTCTCTCTCTCCTGGTGCCTTGCCTGAGACGCACGCACACATTAACTTAGCACTTTCTATTTGCTGGCCTGAATGTACCGTATCCTACTTGCCCTCTAATTGTGTCGCCCGTGCTGGTCTTGAAGGCCCTCTGTCTCCCGGGCTGGGGCCACACCCCCCTGCAGGTCCTAACACGCCCGCCCGGTACGGGACTCAGAGGGACTCAGAAATGGCTTCCGGTGAGCCTGCAAGGAGACGTTGTGTGGACTGAACGGCCACCAGGCAGCTGCCAATCACCGAGCACTCATGACACCCATAACAAGTGCCTTACCTGCGTCAGTCCCCTCACAACAGGCCTGGAAGTGGGGTCATCTGATCATCCCCATTCTGGGGGGCAAAGGGGGGACGCAGAGGCCAAGTCTGCCGCCCAAGGTCCCAGCACAGCGATGGGACAGTCACTGTTCCCCAGGTGGACAGGCCCGCTCCCGGCACGCACACTTACCACCCTCTTACCTTTGGCTGCGGAGTAATAATACGCAATGAAGACCTTCCCGATGCTGTTGGAGCTTCGGAAGTACTTGAGGGTCATGGAGCTGGAGGAGGACTCGTAGGTGAGGTAGAAGCCAGAGCAGGTCCTCCCCAGGGACGTGGCCGAGGACGGGGGGCCGTCCAGGATGTCAAAGTATTCGTTGGTGCAGTCCAGGCTGCAAGGAAGCGGATGGCGCCTCAGGCCCCTGGCGGCAGCCCTGCGGGTGCGCTTGAGGCAGGCCCTTATGTCATGACCCTAAAGAGGCCGCAGACGGATGAAACGCTGGCCTTCAATTGAAGGATGCATTCCTTTTATCTCACTTTTCCCTCAAGGAGGAGTGGGGCTTTAACTGGGACTGGAGAGAGGCGGCCGAAGCTCTAGGTGTGCCCTGAGGACACAGTGCTCGAAGCCCCGGGCCCCGGGCAGGGCTGGGCGAACCAAGGCCATGGATCTGCTGGGCAGACGCGGGCAGAGGCTGCTGGGTCTGCCCACGTAGACACGGCTCCCAGGTCCAGTCCAGCCATTTGTGAGCCTGGAGGGAGGGAGGTCCCACCCCGCCCAGCTCGCCTTGTGGGAGCGATCTGACTGGTCAGCTGCTCTCCGTTGTCAAGCTTTGTCCAGATGCCTCTAGTGCCCTCGTCAGAGACCCGTGTCCATGCCTCGGCCCCCGAGCCTCCTTCCCAACTCACATTTTGGTTAAGCAAGTTCAAGGGAAATAAACAAGTTAAGTGGCTTCTGGGGGGCAGTCTCCTTAAGACATTGATCTGTCAAGGACGTCAACCTTGACTACGACATTAAACTCGGAAAATTTCTCATTTCTGAGGTCTGGGTCCCCTGGAATCTGCATCTTTAACCAGAGGCTGAATTACAGACACTCTGCGTCTTAATCTTCGCCTCTGTCACACACACAGACACGTACACACATACAACGTGCACACACACATGAACACACGTGCGTACACATGCATGTGAAAATGGTGACCACTGAATAAGAGGTCTGTAGTCGAGCTAACAGTGTTGTACTCACATCAAGGTCATGCTTCTGATATTGCTCAGCAGTTACATTAAGAGGCTGCCAATAGGGGAGCTGGGGGAGGTACCTGGGACTCTCATTATTTTTGATTATTTTGGACTAAAACTTAGAGACATGAAGAGACTTAGTTGCGGGAACCAGCCAGGGAAGGCCACGTTGGCATTTGAGGCCGCGCTGCAGCTTCGGTGGCGCGGCACCTACTTCAGGTAGGGGAAGGCCAGCAGCACGTGGTCGGATGCGTTGGCCCGGATCTCCCACACGCAGGTCACGTTGTCGTGCAGGTCGCTCCGTGGCGGGTTCCTCACGGCGCCCGACGAGTTGGTGATGACGCCACCGCACCGAGGTTTCTCTAAAGGCAGGAGGGGGTTCAGGATCTCCACACCCCATCATTCAGTTCACTCATGTTATAGTTCACACATTTCATCTTTTCTTTCCAAATTCAGACCATTCACGCCCAAAGTCTCACCTGCAGTGGCTGTCCCTGCCGTGGCAGCCGAAGGGCGACCTGTCAAACACCAAGGGCACACGGACTGTCAGCGGGCACGAGGCCCACGCTGCCTGGGCCCCTCCCAGAGCCACGGAGCCCGTCTGGGGGTGAGCCGGCGCCGGGACAGATGCTGGTGTGGGGCGGGAAGAGGCACCGGTCTAGAACCTTCCCCAACACTGGCGCAGCCTTCCCTCCTCACACACACAAATGAGCTATGCTTAAGTTGGGTTTAAGAAAATGAAAGATGCGAGATGCTGGTTCCATCGCCAATTCCAGGGACCCTGGGGTCTGGAGCTACGCAGCTTCAATGGACGAACAGCAAGAGGCACCGATGCACTGCTCCCTTCCACCTGCTGCTCAGGGGCCAGGGGCCAGGAGCCGGGACTAAGGATGCTTGGACCCTCCTTCCCGCCCCGATGCGTCTCTGACCAGCGGCATCTGGCTCAGAACTTCCCACTGGAGATTCTCTCCCAGGACCAGGCCACCCTGCCTGCTACAGCCGACTACCCCAAGGAGGGGACTGAGGGTCAGCCTGATGCGTGACACCAAGTGGAGCTGGCTCACGTGGGCGCAGGGACGGGTTTGGTGACGGAGAGCCGGCACCTGGCATCTCTGGGTGTCGGTGCGGAGAGCAGTGGGGAAACCAGAGCACCGAGCTCCGCGGGGCCGGGCTGCACCGGGCGAGGCAGAGGCGAGGAGATGGGGACGGAATGGGGGCACCTGACCTTGGCCAGGTCTTTCCCACCAGCCACCAGCCACCTGCCCCCGGGCGGGAAGTGTCCTTAACTGCCTCTCAAGTCTTTGTTTAAAAATTATTACTGATTTCAGAGAGGAAGGGAGCAGGAGAGAGAGATAGAAACATCAATGATGAGAGAGAATTATTGAAGGACTGCCTCCTGCACTCCCCACACTGGGGATCAAGTCCACAACCGGGCCTGTGCTCTGACCGGGAATCGAACCATGACCTCTTGGTTCATAGGTGGGCGCTCAACCACAGAGCCAGGCTGGCCGGGCTCTGCCTCTCCGATCTTAACCCCCTACCCGAGTCTCATTGCCGTCCTCTCGTGCCCTCAGAATGACGGACTGCGCCTGTTGTACAGGAGCCAAGAGTTTAGAGCCTACTGCCTGGGTGCGCAGTGGAGTGGAGGAGAGGCGGACGTGAGCCTAAGGTACGCTCCACCTCACCAGGGACATTCAGGGGCTCCGGGCTAGGCTCCCCCAACCCCACAGGAGAGTAAGGGACACCCAATTCCAGCAGAGCCTCTGCCCCAAGGCGTGGGCACGCTGCCCTTGGCGCCAGGGCCCTCCCTACCTGGTGGTGTTCCCGCCGTGTGAGCAGCATCTGTAGGCAGAGATGAGAGTGGCTGTGTGAGTTCTTACCCGTCTTTTGTAGGTTCTGCCTGGGAGGAGCCCAAGCCACTCGGCCTGGCAGGGGCGGGGTTACCTGAGCAGACCACACCCGCGTCTTCCCCATGCCCACAGTTGTGGGAGAGCCAGCCGAGGTGGGCACACTCTTCCAGGCGCCCCTCGTCGCCCCTGCAGCGCACGTCATCCAGCAGGATCTTGCCAGAACCTTCACCGAAGTGGGCCTCACCGGGTGCTGAAACGGCCCGGCCACACCCCAGCTGCCTGCAGACGACGTTGGCTTGTGGCAGGTCCCAGAGGTCGTCGCACACGGTTCCCCAGGTGCCCTGGTAGAAGAGTTCCACGCGGCCCACGCAGCTCCCCCGGCTGCCCACCAGCCTCATGGGGGCCCAGCCTCCTGGGAAGAGTAGGGGTCATGGGGTGAGAACAGCGCCCTCTGCCTGTTGATGGCTGGACTGGCTTCTACCCAGCCTAGCCTTCCTTGCATTCCATGACTTTGCAACTCATACCCTTCTGGCTGCCAGGAGAGATCCATGCTCAAAGGAGCCCTGACGCCCTCCTCTCCCTCACCCCATTGAAGACACCTTGCCGGGGATCGGGCCTTCACACCAGCGGCCCCAGTTTTCCTCCTCCTCATAGCTTTGCTCTGCACGATGCGACATTGCAGCTCCCCTCTCATTTCCTTCACCTTCACTCTGGGCTGGTGGCTCCTGACTCGCTTTGCCGAAAGAATAGCAGAACTAATGATGCATATACCCTGTCCTACCCAAAGCCATGCTGAGCTGAGTCTGAGACAGGTGACAGGCTCCCCTGGGCTCCATGGAAACTCTGGGACAATCACGAGAATCAGCCTGAGCCAGGGGGTTGGGTGATGAAAGACACATGACCTCGTCACCTCTGTCACCTCAGATAACAGCTATGGAAAGGTAAGGCCTGTGAGGGAGGCCATCCTAGGCCAGACGGTCTTCCACCGACCTGCCAGATAACCTGAAATGCATGTGGGAGCCCCGCCGAGATCAGCCAACACCAGCCAAGCCTACCCCAGATCTGCAAGGCAGCCCAGCTGACCCCCAGACTCACGGGCAATTACAAATGGTGCTGTCCTAAGCCACCGTGTTTGGGGTGGTTTTATGTGAGAATAGATAAAGAAGACAACTCATACATGTCTTCTTTACCCATATCCCTTTCTTAGATGACCTGTCCTACCGGAAGCCAGGAGGGGGCACAGGGCCAGTGCCATGTGCCCCATGACTGGGGCTGCCCAGTCAGCTCAAGTGTACGTCCGGCTTCAGAGGAACCGGGCCCTGTGCTGAATCAGGACAGATTTTCTGCTGGGAATTTGGAATTAGAAGAGGACAGGGAGGTCATAGAGATGCAGGAACTGGTTCCCATACCTGCAGGTGGAGGTGTCCGGGCCTCTGGGGCTGTGGGCAGTGAAGGCTCGGAGAAGCCATCCCCTAGAAAGAACAACAGAGCTGGTCACGTCCGCAGTGGGGAAAGAACAAGTGGGCATTGCATTGCAAGACACTCTGAAGCTCTCGGTTTTCTTCCAGTTCATCTAAGGAAGTCACCATCAGCACCACCAAACGAGACTGCTGAACTTTTCATTCATCTATATCATGTTCACGGTAAAGGGACCCTTGAATTCTTGGCCCAGTAGAAAGAAATCTTTAAAAAACAGGAAACTTAAGAACATCATATTTGAGGAACCTGAAGGAAATGAAAGCAGCGTCTACAAACTGATAATGCTGGAATGTATTCAATAAATATGCATTGAATGGGAAGAATAATATGAGAAAGTTCTAAAGAGCTTCATGACCTGATTATTCAATTCTGGAATCTAATTCTCATTCTGCCACATGCACATGAACGCCAGTGTCCTGATCTGGGCCAGGTGAGGAGAGGCCATGGATGCAACCTCAGCCTCTTAGCTGTAAATGGAAAATTAATTCCTCCACAGAGACCTGTCTGTCTGCATAATACCAGATGTTGGCAGATATCTTAATAATTTACCTAAAATATTCTTGTTTGAGTGCTTAGCTCTCTATATACATAACCACAAAAACACACAAACTAAAAATAGCCAAGGAAGTGATTCACAAGAACAAAGTTTAACTTACCAGGTAAACTAGTTTCTGCTGATAACGGTGCTGCTGCTGGTAATAATGCTGTTGAGAATGATGGCATTGATGATGGTGACAGTGGTGATGATGATGACAGTGGTGATGGTGATAACAATGGGGATGGTGATGATGGTGACAGTGGTGATGATAGTGACAGTGGTGATGATGATGACAGCGGTGATGGTGATGATGACAATGGAGATGATGACAATGGAGATGATGACAGTGGTGATGATGATAACAATGGGGATGTTGATGATGGTGACAGTGGTGATGATGATGGTGATGATGGTGATGATGATGATAACAGTGGTGATGATGATGATGATAGTAGTAATGATGATGATGATGATGGTGATAATGGTGATGATGACAAAGGCGGTGATGATGATCAACGTGGTGATGATGATAATGATGACAATGGTAATGATGGTGATGATGGTGATGATGATGATGACAGTGGTGATGATGATAATGATGACAATGGTAATGATGGTGATGATGGTGATGATGACAATGGTGATGATGATAGTGGTGATGATGGCAATGGTGATGACAGTGATGGTGATGACAGAGGTGGAGATAATGATGATAGTGGTGATGATGCTGACAATGGTGATGATGATAGTGGTGATGACAATGGTGATGATGATGATGGTGATAATGGTGATGATGACAAAGGTGGTGATGATGATGACAGTGGTGATGATGATAATGATGACAATGGTAATGATGGTGATGATGGTGATGATGACAATGGTGATGATGATGATAATGGTGATGATAAAGGTGGTGATGATGACAATAGTGATGATGACAGTGGTGATGATGATAGTGATGACAATGGTAATGACGATAATGGTGATGACGGTGATGACAATGGTGGTGGTGATGACAGTAGTGACGATGATGATGATAGTGGTGATGATGACAATGGTGATGAAGACAATGTTAATGTTGATGGTGACAGTGGTGATGATGATAATGGTGATGACAATGGTGATGATGATGACAATGGTGATGATGATAATGGTGATGATGACAATGGTAATGATGATGATGATAATGGTGATGATGATAATGGTGATGATGACAATGGTAATGATGATGATGATAATGGTGATGATGATAATGGTGATGATGACAATGGTAATGATGATGATGATAATGGTGATGATGATAATGGTGATGATGACAATGGTGATGATGATGATGACAATGGTGATGATGATAATGGTGATGATGACAATGGTAATGATGATGATGATAATGGTGATGATGATAATGGTGATGATGACAATGGTAATGATGATGATGATAATGGTGATGATGATAATGGTGATGATGACAATGGTAATGATGATGATGATAATGGTGATGATGATAATGGTGATGATGACAATGGTAATGATGATGATGATAATGGTGATGATGATAATGGTGATGATGACAATGGTAATGATGATGATGATAATGGTGATGATGATAATGGTGATGATGACAATGGTAATGATGATGATGATAATGGTGATGATGATAATGGTGATGATGACAATGGTAATGATGATGATGATAATGGTGATGATGATAATGGTGATGATGACAATGGTAATGATGATGATGATAATGGTGATGATGATGACAATGGTGATGATAATGGTGATGATGACAATGGTGATGATGACAATGGTGATGATGATGGTGATGCTGCTACTGACAATGGTGATGATGATAGTGGTGATAACAATGGTGATGATGACAAGGGTGATGATAGTGATAATGGTGATGATGATGAGGATGACAGTGGTGGAGATGATGATGGTGATGCTGCTACTGACAATGGTGATGATGACAGTGGTGATGACAATGGTGATGATGATGATGACAGTGGTGATGATGGTGATAATGGTGATGAAGATGATGACAGTAGTGATGATGGTGATGGTGAGGATGGTAATGATGATGATGACAGTGGTGGAGATGATGGTGACAGTGGTGATGATGATGATGATATTGGTAATGATGATGATAATGGTGACGATGATGGTGACGGTGGTGATGAAGATGATGATGATAATGCTGACAATGGCAAAGATGGCGATGATGAAGATGATGGTAATTCTGCTTCTGCTTATCAGGATTATAAAAAAAAGTTCCTCTTTGTTTTAAGACAGTGGTTTTCAAGGTGTGGTTCCCTACCACAGTATAAGCATCTGGACTTGTTGGAAATGCAAATCTTACACCCCACTCTAGGCCTACTGAACTAGAAACTCTGGGAGGGGCCCAGCAGTGTGCATTTTTAATAAACCCGCAGGGTAATTCTGATGAAAAGTAACGTTCAAAAACCACTGCTTTAGGATAAAAAGTAAAGGATTGGAGTAGCCCTATGGTTTCTTCTAGTGGCAAAGTTACTTTAAAATTGCATAACTATAATTTTTCAGCTGGTGTTGTTTCACTGTCTGTTAAAAAAAATCATGCCTCACAGATTCAAGACAGATGATTTTCTGATCTAATCACTCTGGGACATAAATGGCAATTTTCTCTCAAATAAGTGATTTGTGATGATTGATGGGCATAGTCACAGAAAACTATATCCTAAAGCCAGTGCCTATTAATTATAGTCCTTCAATGGCCCCAGAAGAGTCCTGTCTTGCCCGGTAATCCAGTTCTGATCTGGGGAGGTTCCTGCACCTGGGCACTTGTCCGGCTAGCTGATTTCCAAACCCTCTTTTACTGATGTTACTCATCAGTGTTGCGCTCTCCTCCAGGCCACGCCCTAAGTAGAGCCTGGGACCTCTCTGTAGGCAGCCGCCTTGCAGAGGGGCTGTCAGGCCAGGGTGAGCAGGTTTCCTGAGAGCAGGAGGCCAAGGTCAACACCACAGATCTGAGCTCTGAGCCTCTCTGTGATGGTGGGCAGACGCAGAGACCGGGAAAGCCGGTTAGACTCCAAGTCAAATAGACCAATCAAACCAGCCCCTGTAAACGGCGCCAAGCTCGATTGACAGGGTCGTTTTCATTCCATTTCCACAGAAAGTATTAGCCGGACAGAACTGGAGGTAGCACGGGGCCTAGAAACAGCCCAGGGGTCTCACCTGGCAGGAAGGCATCTGCCACTGGAGGACCTGCGAGTGGAGAGGGAACCATCAGCCCCCACAGGAGGCCCCGGCTCACTCCCCACTCCCTGTCAGAGCCCCTTCCGCCCACGAGTCCCAGAGAGAGCACACGACCCCTCACCGGAGCAGACGGCCCCGGCGTCGTCCTCATGGCCACAGCCGTGCGTGAACCAGGCGTCATGGGCGCACAGGGCCAGGTGGCTCTCCTCACCGCTGCAGTGCACGTTGTCCAGGAGAATCTTCCCGAAGCCCGGCCCGAAGTGGGCGCCCAGCGGGGCAGACACTGCCCGGCCGCAGCCCAGCTGCCGGCACACCACCCGGGCCTCCCGCAGGCCCCAGCCATCCCCGCACACCGACGCCCAGGCGCCCTGGTAGAACACCTCCACGCGCCCTGAGCACCTCCCGGGGCCGTCGGCGAGCCTCATCCTGGGCGGGTCGTCTGCGGAAACAATAAGGGTCCATTTTGGAAACTTGCCTTTTGCACTCACCCTGTTTGCCCGGCTCCCAAATTCAGGGGAAGTTTTGATCACTCCCCATTTATGAGCGCTCAGCACTCCCACCGCTGCGTGAGATGCCCCTGGCAGTCACGCCACAAAGCGGGTCAGATGGTGGAACATGCATTGCTGAGCCAGGACTGCCCCCAGCGGGCAGACACGAAACATCTCAGAGATGTATTTCTGTCCGTGGGGAAAGGCGCCCATTATGGGGTTTATTCAAAAAGACTCAACACCATAGCTGCGAAAGCAGTAAAATCTATCTCTAAATCTTTACAGCCATCGACGCGGATCCACCTCGGAAACGTGACATTGAGTAGAGAATACAAGGAGTGGGTGACCGACGGGCACCGATATCATTGGTGAGAGAGAAAACCACAATGACTCATGGAGCCGCACATGTCGTATTTGTAAGTCTTAAGAGTGAACGGGAACAACACACACCACCTCCAGGGGTGCTTGTCTCCGACGCAGAGGAAGAGAACAGGGGGATGGGCGTCTGGGAGCTCAAAGCTGCCTGTCATGTGCTATTCCCTGACAAGATGGAACCCAGGGTGACAAACTGTGAGCACCAGCCCCGGAGGCACGGGGCACGGCTGTCTGCTCCCCTTTTCTCCTCACTGTCTGAACTTTCCAATGTGTCTGTGCAGCGGCAGGAAAGCGGGGTGCTCGGGCGCTCAGCCGGGTGCTGGGGGCGTGGTCCTCTCGCTCTGGCCCGTGCAGCCCCGCCCCCTCCCTGGCTGACACGGCCTCCCCTGGGGCTCACACGCACAGTGGTGTGTCCTGTGAGCTGGTGGCTGACCTGGCGGGCTGGGCCAAGGATTGTCGGCTCCACGACTCGAAGGAGGCGGGTCCATGGCAGGTGGCTCTAGAACGACACGGAAGCGGTGGTCAGGGCCACAACGCCTTCCTGAGACACAGATGAGACGCCGTCAGAGGACTCAGCTGGTCCCACTGAAGGGCCGCCTGTCTGGCCACGAGCTCACAGAGAAGGACCCCCTCTCACGAGGCTGGGGTCAAGTCCCGGCGGCAGAGCGGATGCTCCTAACGCCATCCTGCTTTCCCCAAATGCCTCGCCCCCTTTTTTAAAAAGATAGTTTTCTGGGGGTTAATCGCACCCGAGGATATTTTTCCATTGATTTTTAGAGAGAGAAGAAGGGAGAGGGAGAGACAGAGAGAAACACCAGTGATGAGAGAGAATCAGGGATTGGCTGCCTCCTGCACACCCCGCACTGGGGATTGAGCCCACAACCCAGGCCTGTGCCCGTGACTGGAATCGAACCGTGACCTCCTGGTTCCTAGGTCGATGCTCAACTCCTGAGCCACACCCGTGGGCGTGCTGGTCTTTGACAGTCAGATTAGGGATAAACACAAACTGAAGCTGGACAGCGTGAATCCAGGCACCTCAGGGCCCCGTCCCCCTCCACTCAGCGTGCCCTCAGGCGGAACAGCAGTCACTAGCCATGGTCGGTGCAACTGAGCAGTTAAACTTGGTCATGGGGGGGTGGGGGGTGGAGAAGCAGGGTGGAGCCGGCAGCAGGCAGCACTGCAATACAGACCCACCCGTCAGCCTGTCGCACGCGCCACGTCCGTGCTGCTCATCAGTTTACTTGGTTCCGTGGTGCCCACAGGCTGACGCACCTCAGAGGGAAAGGAGGTCGGGGAGCGGAGACCAACCACAGAGCTGGTTGGCACAGAGGCCTGACACGTGGACAGACACAGACAACAGTGTGGTGAGGGCCGGGGAGGGGCAGCAGCGGGGTGGACAGGACAAGGGGCAGCTGTAATACTTCCAACAATAAAGATAAATTTGAAAATAAAAATAATAAGAATTCTCCCCCAAAGCCCTATCCGGTGTGGCTCAGTGGATAGAGCGTCGGCCTGCGGACTGAAGGGCCCCAGGTTTGAGTCTGGTCAAGAGCACATGCCCGATTGTGGGCTGGATCCCCAGTGGGGGGCGTGCAGGAGGCAGCCGATCCATGATTCTCTCTCATCATTGATGTTTCTCTCTCTCTCTCCCTCTCCTTTCCTCTCTGAGATCAATAAAAATATATTTAAAAAAAGAATTCCCCCCAAAAGAAACACTCATGAACACACGTGCTCACAGTGAGAGGGGTGTGGCCAGCGAGGGCCCCCATGATCTCATAAGTTGTAGTTTTGCCTCAACTCTGAAGCGACCACTAGGTAAGTGATAGACGTGCTAAGTCGCCTCTCAGCCATGGGCCCTGGGTCTTGTTCAGCTCACTCACCTCGTCTCCTCTCTCCCAGACTCTACGTCCCAGGCAAGTGTTTGGTGTTTTGTGATAAGAATTACGTGTTGCCCAGCCAGTGGGGCTCAGCGGTTGAGCATCGACCTATAAACCAGGAGGTCATAGTTCCATTCCCAGTCAGGGCACAGGCCTGGGTTGCAGGCTCCATCCCTAGTAGGAGGTGCGCAGGAGGCAGTCAATCCATGATTCTCCCTCGTATTTTAAAAAATGTTTTAATGATTTTAAAGGGAGAGGAAGGGAGGTGGAGAGAGACAGGAACATCCATGATGAGAGAGAATCATGGGTCAGCTGCCTCCTGCACGCCCCACACTGGGGAGCAAACCTGCAACCCGGGCCTGTGCCCTGACCAGGAATCAAACCCTGACCTCCTGGTTCCTAGGTCGATGCTCCACCCCTGAGCCCCGACGGCCAGGCCACAAGCATTCTTAAAAGTGGAGCTGGAGGTTGGGGCGTCAGAGAGAAATTTGAAGACACAACCCTGCTGGCTTTGAAGCCAGAAGGAGCGGAGCCCAGGAGGGGGCGGCCCCGGGACCCGGAGAGGCAGGTGTGGTCCTGCCCCGCGGCCTCCAGGGGGACAGGACCCTAGACGGCGATTTCGCAGCTGAGACTCCTCCTGGACTCTGGCCCCAGAGCTGAAGGCAGCGCTTGGGTGTGGCTCACACACTGGGCTTGTGGGAACTGGTGGCCTCGGCACAGGACACGCAGAATGAGCCGGTGTCACACACGCTCAAACGCCGCCTCCTCCACGGAACGGAGCGCGTCGGTAACTGCTGAGCGAGCCTGGGGCCCTCAGTGCAGCGGCCGGAGCGACGCCGACAGGCGGCCTTGGACCCACTCACGCCGATGCTCTCAGGACTCGTTCCAGACACCGGCAGCGCCGTCCGCTCTGAGGAAGGAGGGGATCTCGGGGCCCCGCCTGAGAATGAGCTCCCCACAAACTCAGCCACGGGGCAGCTGGGGGTCACCAGGGAAGGACCTCTTTCCTGAATTTGGAGGGACCGTGAGACCCTCCGGGGGTCAGCACAGGGTGGGCGCCCTCTTACCTGAGAGGATGGCGTCCGAGTCCCCGTCATCTGTGGGCACGAGAGAAACAGAGAGGTTTCCATGTGATTAAAGGGGTGACGTTCACTTCGCCTGCTTCTGAGCGTCAGGGCCGCCTAGGGGGCCCCTGGACAGGTGGGAACGGACCCGAGGAACATGGGCCGGACAGACGCTCGGAGGTGCTTGCCCATGGGATCGTTTTGAAGAGACCCTAGAGGTGACACTGCACCTCGGGGCCCCGAATGGCACACAGAGCAGCCCTCACCCCAGGCTGGAGCGCCACCTGCTGGTCAGGGCAGCGGTGCCCACCTGGGACCAGAGCCGGTGACCACGGCCCGTCCACATCCGAGCCCTTTCCCGGCCCCTGCCTCTCGGGACCCACGGGCACCATCAGTCCTCTGGGCCCTCGGGGAACACGGCTGTTATCCGTGTCGCATACATGCATCTGCTACAGATTTCAAATGACCGACACTGCCCGCTGCGCGTCCTCCCCTGGCACCAGCCTCCTGCCTGCCCAGGGCCACAGGGAATGGGAAGTGTCAGGCCGATGGGACAGAAGCACGAACTCACCCAGTGCCAGCTTTAGGCGCTCGGTCTCGGCGGCTACGGGGGGAGAGAAAGTCACTTTAGAAAAGGGCCAGTGTTGTCCTAGAAAAGCTTCAACCAAAATAAGTTTCATCATGAAAGAATGTGACTCCAGGAATAAGAGTGTCAGTTCTCCGGCCTTCGTTCAGAGGGCTGTTCATTAACCATCACACACATACGTGACGAGCAGGGCAGCGTGTCTGGCCACACGTGTCCCACTCCGCTGTGCTGCGGGTGTCCGCCTGCAGACTCCGTGACAACCGGCAGGCAAACACTCCTCGTGCCACGGAACAAGCGGAGCCCGCGGCTAGGAGACAGACGCTTCGATAGAACTCTAACCCCCACCCGACGGCACAAAGCCATCGAGGGGGGAAAAGAAAACCAAAGATAAATGCAAACAAGCCAACCTCACCCCCGCCCCCGCGTGCGCGCGCGCGCACACACACACACGTGCAGGCATGCAGGCACGCACACACGCACGCACGCGCACATGCACACACTTGGCCCCCAATGCCTGAGCTGTTTGAATGGACTTTGAACACATACTAGTTATGTTAGTGCCACACAGAGAGAGTCCCCGGGCTGCAACCACGGGAACCTCAGCTGTGACCCGCTCACCGCTCCGGACCCATGAAGCCATTTCCTTCTTCCCATCACACACATGCACCTTTCTTTTTTTTTTTTCTCTCTCTCTCTCTGTTTCTTTTTTTATTTTCTGGTTATCTCCTTAAATTTGCAAATCAAGACATTATCAGCAACTGATATATCCCCATCAAGTTATTTTCACACATGCACCTTTCATTGCGGCGAGCTGAATACCAGCCACGTGTTTGGTGGAAATTCATTTGTGTATGCGTGTGGCTGTGTGCACACATGTGAACGCACGTGAATGAGAACATGTATGTGAGAGCATTGCATACGTGCATGTATGTGCATGTGCGTGAGTGTATGCATGTGTGGGTGTGTGCATGTGTGTGAGTATATGTATGCAAGAGAATGTGTGCATGTGTATGGGTGTGTGTGTGGGGGGGGTTTGCATATGTGGGTGTGGGTGTGCATGTGTGTGGGTGGGTGTGCATATGTGGGGGTGGGTGTGCATGCATGTGTGTGCATGTGTGTGGTGTGTGTGAGTGTGCATGTGCGTGTGTTGGGGTGGGAGGGGAGGTTGGCCCGTGGAGCTGTCAGCTTGCTGGCGGCACAGCGGGGCACAGCATGGCGGTGCTGAATGCCTGACCAGGGCGAATGCGAGCAGGCGGCCGGGGCCCAGCCCAGATCGGACACCACAGATTCCCACCCGACTGAGACTGTGGTGCCAGGGGGAGCCCGGGCTGGGTGCCCCGGGGGCGGGGGGCTGTGGGCTGGAGGGAGGCAGGGAGGCGGGTGGCCAGTGTCGGGTCTGGAGACAGAGCAGGTGTGCACCCAGCTGGGCAGATCGCAACTCGATCGCCTTGTGGTTTTAGAGAGATTTTAACTGTTTGCCTTGGCTCGTGCTGAGCAGATAAACTCTACGCAGGGGACAACCACACTCCAGGCACAGGCCTGGCTGTTCCCGGAAGCTCTCAGGGCCCGTTGTCTGGAGGTGCTTGTGCAACCGCTGAGGAGCCCAGGAGCACCTCCAGGGCCGTATCGCATCGCTGATCCCACGCTCCTGGGAGCTCAAGATCAGTCTGTAAGCTGCAGGGGGAAGTGCACATTCGGGGCAGAGGTGGCATGAGCACAGGTGGGGGAGGCGGGGGCGGGCACAGCTGGAGCCGGGCCAGGCTGCCCCGAGACAACAGCTACTCGCCTGTGGCGTCTGCAAGGCCCCCGTGCCTCTCAAATCCCCTCGATGCCAGCAGCTCAGGAAACACCCGAGACCCTGGCGCGCTTATCCTGGAGGAGTGGGCGCGGGCAGCAGGGGGGAGAGTCAGGGTGTTGTTTTCCACTCACTCACTCTGACCATTTCTGAGTGCCTGCTGCTGTGCCCGCGGTGCGGGAAGCGGGCCCGTGTCACCCCCTGTGCCCGCGGTGTGCAGGGTTGGCTGGGAGTCAGCGCAGGGCAGAGCAAGGAGAGGGCTGAGCACTCCTATCAAAGGCTCAGCTCAGGGTAACGAATCGCCCTGTTTTGGTTGTTTTTGCACGGGGACTTCATTTCTTAGGGGGATGGGAGGAGGGGGCGGGACAAGAGGTGATGCTGACCTTCCTGCCCAGGGATCTGCTCGGGGCTGTTCCAACGCAACATCGCAACATCGAGTCGTTACCAAGGTGTTGTCTTAAGAGAATCGCTGGATTTTAGGGAGCTTTTTCCCAGTTCCCAGCGATCTTTAAACTCACTGTCCCAAACTGCGGGTTGTCTCCATCCCCCCACTCGCGCGCACACACACACACACACACGCACACACACGCACACACACACACGCACACGCACGCACGCACGCACACACTGGGTTCCTCGTGGAATCTGACTTATACAACATTTTAAATCCAATTGCTTGAACATGAACATGCTGAAAGAATGCCC